AAGCTGCCATTATTTAATGCTGTCTTATCCTCCCTTTAGCACAAGAGTGCAAAGTGATGTGTATCTTTTCCATTTTATTGGGAACCAAAATTTAAAAAGAAAGCATTGGTTCTTATAATAAGATCCTGGTAAACAAAGAAGAGTCTGGTAAATGAGTGATATTAACAGAGATTAGAAGAGTCTATTCATTCTTGCCTTTGCCAACACTTTGACCTCAAAAAAATAAAAAGAAGCACCTACTGCCTTGAAAATAAGGTAATATATTTTCTGAAATCCATGTCTCTTCCAGACCCAAGATATCAAGCCTCAGTAGAAAGGCTCACACATTGGGAGTTGGTTATTCAGTGCAAGAAATGGGAGGGAATGTGTTCCAGGAAATCTTGTAGAATTATAAGGATGCACCTATTAGTTTATGTCATTTGGGATTAAGTAATTATAGCTGCAAATTGATTGCATTAACCCTCAATGAAAAAACCTAGCTCCAGCGAGTCAAAGATAGTAAGATCTTTTAGCCAGTTTGTCAAGGGTAAAGGAGCCTGTGTGACTTGTGGAATGAGCTAATGCCACGGGGAAGGATTCATGAGAGTCAATGGTTACAGTCAATTACTGCAAACATGACTGCAATAGAGATTAGAGTTAAGCGTTAGTGTAGAATCAGCATGGAAAACACAGGTAGGGAGAATGTGTGTGGGCAAGAATGTCAGGGTGTAACTACACAGAAATTTTGTCAAGGTCCAATCCTGCAGGATCAGCTGGATAAGCTCTGCACTGGCCCCAGCAGGAGGAGCCTATGCTTGAGGGACCCAGAGGATACAGAAACAGAAAAAGAACCACATCACTCATAGGAGACTACTAAGGCAAGTACTAGAGACAAGTGTTAAGTTAAAAAAAAAAAGTGATGCAAAGGTGCAGCTGAGGAAGGCAGGGTCAGAGGCTGCCAGAGGAGGATGGACTCACAAGTAAGGAGCAGCTGAGAGAGGTACAGAAATAAGGCCCTGAATGATCAATTTCCTTTCATTCCTAGATACCCTGGAATAGCCACTTCGAAGAGCTACACGGGGTCAGTTAGCTGATGAGGACCAGTGAAGGAAAGTATGATTTCATAGGGGAGTTCTCATGGTTGAATAAACAGAGGTTTGATAAACAGCATCCACACAAGTGGAATAATCACTGAAGCTCAATAAAGCAATTTCAGAACCTGTTCAAAATGGAGTCCTTTTCTCTCTTTGGACAATGAGTTGGATCTTCACTCTACTGAGGTCAGGAAGAGGGTGCTTGTTTGTTTTCTTGCTTGTTTTGCCAGCTGTATATCTTCCTTCCAGAGAATGATACTGTGATTGTCACCCAGAGATGGATATGAGTGTTAGGACTCTGTCTTCTCATAGGAAGAGAATGAAAATGGTTTCAATTGTACAAAGGAAAGCTGCATCTTGTCATCAAAGGCATAAAGTTGTTTTGTTCCCATATGGAAGTTCAATATGTGTCAAAGGACTGGGTTGTAGAGTAGCTAAAGGGATGGACTAGACTGGTTATAAAGCTATTTTCTCTAGCTGCAAATACACCCTTCTTTGCTGTTTAATGCTGTTGTGCCTGCGACTGCAAACCACACTTCCCTTTTGCCAGCTCTCTCTCTTAGGATCTTCTGATAGGGCATCCACAGGGAGACTAGGAGGCTAACGGGGTGACGGATTTCCTTCCTTATGTTTGCTTTTCATTCCTGTCAGTGTCACCCAAACAACCATTCCTCAATCTGGAATCAAGAGCAAACTTGAGCCAGGTGGTATTTGTTCTCTATACAGAAACCTTACCCTGGTCAGCTCCCACCTCCTCCCCAGAGGTCTGAGTACCAGCTCGGCAGTGATGTCCTCCAAAAGCCCCTGAAGCTCCAGCACCATCCATTCTGTGCCGCATCCTCAGTGGCCTGAATTCCTGCTCCTTTGGGGTCTGTCTTTGGGACATGTAGATTAAAATAACCCAACAACTTTCTTTCCCATTCCTAGGAGTGGCACTTGCTTCTTGCAATTTCTACCTCTGTAAAACTCCAGTATTCCATTTTTTGTCTTTTTAGTTCTCCTAATCACTGGTTAACAATTTTTTGTATTAAATTATCTTTATTAGAATAACTAGTGTAAAGAAACTTTTTTAGTTTGAATCCATCACATTTATTGCTTCTTAATTTTACTTCTTGCACTTTAGGAGTCTTGTTAAAGAAGCCAGGTCCTAAACCAACATGATGAAGATTTGGTCCTACTTTTTTTGTCTATCAGGCATAGGGTCTCTGTTCTAGTGCCTAAGTCTTTTACCCACTTTGAGTTGCTTTTGTGCAGAGTGAAAGATAGAGGTTTAATTTCATTTCGCTACATATGGATTTCCAGTTTCCCCAGCACCATTTGTTGAAGAGGCTATCTTTCCTCTAAAGTATGTTTTTGGCACTTTGTCTAGTATGAGATAACTGTATTTATGTGGGTTTGTCTCTGTGTCTTCTATTCTGTACCATTGGTCTACATGTCTATTTTGGTGCCAATATCATGCTGCTCTTGTTACTATTGCTCTGTATTATACCAAACAGACATTTCACAGACGAAGATATACACTCGATCAACAAACATACGAAAAAATGTTCATCATCTCTAGCAATTAGAGAAATGCATATCAAAACTACTCTAATATTTCATTTCACACCAGTGAGAATGGCAGTTATCAAGAATACAAGCACTAGGGCTGGTGTTGTGGCTCAGTGGTAGAGTGGCATGTGGGAGGCCCTGGGTTCGATCCTCAGCACCACATAAAAATAAATAAATAAAAATAAAGGCATTGTGTACAACTAAAAGAAATAAATATTTAAAAAATAATACAAGCAATAATAAGTGTTGGCGAGGATGTGGGGAAAAAGATACACTCATGCATTGATGGTGGGACTGCAAATTAGTGCAACCACTATGGAAAGCAATATGGAGATTTCTTAGAAAACTTGGAATGGAACCACCATTTAACCCAGCTATCCCACTCCTTGGTTTATACCCAAAGGACTTAAAATCCAGCATACTACAGTGATGCTGCCACATCGATGTTTGTAACAGCTCAATTCACAATAGCTAAACTATGGAACCAACCTAGGTGCCCTTCAACAGATGAATGGATAAAGACAATGGGGTACATATACACAATGGAATATTACTTAGCCTTAAAGAAGAATGAAATTATGGCATTTGCAGGTAAATGGATGGAACTAGAGAATATCATGCTAAGTGAAATAAGCCAATCCCCAAAATCCAAAGGCCAAATGTTTTCTCTGATAAGCAGATACTGGTCCGTAGTCGGGGAGGGGACAGAGAAGAATGAAGGAACTTTGGATTGTGCAGAGAGGTGTGAGGGGAGGGGTGGGGCTGTGGGGATGGGAAGGATGGTAAAATGAGACAGACATTATTACTCTATATACATGTATGATTACACTACCAGTGTGACTCTGCACCATGTACAGCCAAAGGAATAAGAAGTTGTGCTCCATTTGTGTAAAATGTGTCAAAATGCATTCTACTGTCATGTATAATTAATTAGAACACATTTAAAATTTTTTATAATAACTAGTTTGGTTTTCTGATTTTCTACTTGGACTCTGATACTTACACCTTGAATATTCTGACAATTCATTTAGAAAATTGAGCCTTTCCCCCAATTGAAAAATGCTTCTGTAATTTGGGTGTCCATATGTCCCAGATTCCCTGGAACAATTTTAGTTTCTGCTTGTTGTCCTGGCATACTTATTAATAGTGCTCTCCTTCTCATTCAAAAGCATTTCTATTTGGGCAATGAAATTACATGGCTGACTCAGATATAAGGAGTCACCATTATTGATGGAACTGTGGGTTAAGGAGGTGAATCTACGTAGGCATTTTCTTCCTTAAATGTCTTGCCTTTGAACACAATGCTGTGTACCAAGATGTTAAATCTTTGGAGTTTCTCTGTGGCTCTCCATCCTGGCTGCACCAGAATACTGGGAATGCAAAACTTTGATTTACCACCTAGAATGACACAATGGGATTCAGCAAACCAAAAACTTGTTCTGGTGATATCAGCTACAATTTGAAAAATCTCTCCTTGATAGATGTTTATCACATTAGCCTGTATAATGCTAGTGAGTAGATATCTGGCCACTACTTCTGTTTTCAATCCCACAGCTCTGGGTAGATTGCTCTGACAGCTGACTTATTTGCACATGTTATGTGGTCTGTGTCCTTGCTCTTTTCCCAGTGTTCCTGTTCCTTGAACTTCCCAATTATATGAACTAGTCCATTCTCTTTATTCCTAAGCCACTTTGATGTGTTGGATTTCTCACCAAGAGGGTCTGGGAGCAGCAACATCCCAGTAACTGTGAAAATACCTAACACCCAGATCCTGGCTACTAAATAACAATTCTCCCTCTATTAAAAGAAAACAGGATACTTAGAGGAATGACTGACTTTAGAGCTGATGCAGGGAAAATACAAGATGATCCAGGAATATATTTTTGTACCTGAAAATAAGGAAGTATTCAAAGACTGATAGGGACATAACAAGTTGGGTACAGAAATTTAATTGGAAAAAAGTTTCCACTAACTAAAAGGGTGGAAATTGGAAGATCAAAATAAATACAGAAATCAATAGATAATAACCAGTTGAATAAGACAGGAACACTTGAGTCCATGTTAATTTCCATGGACTGGATTGTGTTCTCCCAAAATTCATTGCTGAACTCTAATTTTCAATTTGAAGATAAGTATTTGGAAATAGGATATTTACAAGGTAAAGTCTGATCATAAAGGTGAGTCCTAATCCAATAGGATTGGTGGTCTTAAAGAAAATGAATGTGAAGTGCGCGTGGCCGCGGCGGCTGGTGTGGGGTTGAGTCAGTTGTGAGACCGGAGCTGCGGACCTAGCGCCGGCCACCGGAGCCGCGACAGGGCGACAGGCGTCGAGGCCCAGGCGCCCGGAGCTGGCCGCGTCCTAGCGCGGCCGAGCGGCGCCGTCGTCCCGCCCAGCAGCACACCGCCGCCGCGGGCGCGCCCCCGCTCTGCGCTGCCTCCGATGGCGTCCGCCTCCGGGTCCATGGCGAAGCACCAGCAGATCCTGGTCCTCGACCCGCCCGCAGACCTCAAATTCAAAGGCCCCTTCACAGATGTAGTCACTACGAATCTTAAACTCCGAAATCCGTCCGATAGGAAGGTGTGTTTCAAAGTGAAGACTACGGCACCTCGGCGGTACTGTGTGCGGCCCAACAGTGGGATCATTGACCCAGGGTCCACTGTGACTGTTTCAGCGATGCTGCAGCCCTTTGACTATGATCCCAATGAAAAGAGTAAACATAAGTTCATGGTGCAGACGATTTTTGCTCCACCAAACACTTCAGATATGGAAGCTGTGTGGAAAGAGGCAAAACCCGATGAATTAATGGATTCTAAATTGAGATGTGTTTTTGAAATGCCGAGTGAAAACGACAAGTTGAATGATATGGAACCTAGCAAAGCTGTTCCACTGAACGCATCTAAGCAAGATGGACCCATGCCAAAACCGCACAGTGTTTCACTCAACGATACCGAAACAAGGAAGCTCATGGAAGAGTGTAAAAGACTTCAGGGAGAGATGATGAAGCTGTCAGAAGAAAATCGACATCTGAGGGATGAAGGCTTGAGGCTCAGAAAGGTAGCACATTCGGATAAACCTGGATCCACCTCAACTGCGTCCTTCAGAGATAACGTCACCAGTCCTCTTCCTTCACTTCTTGTAATTGCAGCCATTTTCATTGGATTCTTTCTAGGGAAATTCATCTTGTAGAGCGAAGCATGCAGAGTGCTATTTCTTTCATTTTTTTTTTTTTCTCTTGACCAGAAAAAGATTTGTTTACCTACCATTTCATTGGTAGTATGGCCCGCGGTGACCATTTTTTTGTGTGTACAGCGTCATATAGGCTTTGCCTTTAATGATCTCTTACGGTTAGAAAACACAATAAAAACAAACTGTTCGGCTACTGGACAAATTGTACATTACCAGATCATCACTAGCAGATGTCAGTTGCACATTCAGTCCTTTATGAAATTCATAAATAAAGAATTGTTCTTTCTTTGTGGTTTTAATAAGAGTTCAAAAAAAATGAATGTGAGGACACATTAAGAAGGTTCTCATCTAGGGGCTGAGATTGTGGCTCAGCGGTAGAACGTTTGTCTAGCACGTACGAGGCACTGGGTTCCATCCTCAGCAACACATAAAAATAAATAAAATAAAGCATTGTGTTCAACTACAATTAAAATTTTTTTTTTAAAAAAGAGGGTTCTCATCTATAAGTGAGAAACAAATCCTCACCAGAAACAGGACCATGCTAGAATCTTAAACTTTCCAGCCTCCCAAACTGTGAGAAAATAAATTTATTTTGTTTAAGCCATCCAATCCATTTATGGCATTTTGGTATGGCAACCACAGCAGACTAACACACTGATATTAATTAATTAGTTAATATGTAATATAATTTTTATATAGTATTATAATTCGTTCCCCTCAAAATACTTACTAATTATCAAGGGAAATAAAGTAATTTGTGCTAGAGAAGCCTGCAGACACCACTGAATCAGGTGATGAAAGTGAACATTCCTGGTACTATGGTTTGCATGAGGTCTGTCCCCCAAGCGTACGTGTGTTTGAAACTTGGTCCCTACCATGGTGATGTTGGGTGAGTATGGACCTTTAAGAGGTGGATTTTAGTGGGAGGTTGTTAGGTCATTGAGGGTGCTGCTGTCAGAAATGATTAATTAACCCATTATGTTCTAGTGTTCCATATAATGCGTTAAGGTGGTTTTTATGGGATCCTGAGTTAGTTCCCATGAGAGCAAGTTGGTATAAGAAGCAAGCCTTTGACCCTTTGACCACCAAACCCTACTTTTGGCAACTGAATCTGAAATTTTCAATGGAACACCCACCCTTGTCTTCTTCCATCACTTCTGCCTGGCAAACCCCTGGTCTGCCTCTTTCAGACATACTCTCTAGGAAGTGGCCGAGTCATCTTGGATAAAAATTACACCGTTTTTTTTTTTTTTAAATCACATAATTGAGTATACTGGTGTCACCTAAACTTGTGGTCTACAACTCACCTGAAACTCATCTATTCCATACAAATTTATTAAGTGGCTACTCTGTTCCACATAATATTTTTTTAATATTTATTTTTTAGTTTTAGGTAGACACAATATCTTTATTTTGTTTTTATGTGAATCAAACCCAGTGCCTCATACATGCTAGGCGAGCTCCCTACCACTTGAGCCACATCCCCAGCCCCAATCTGTGCCACATAATCTTTTTTTTAAAGAGAGAGAGAGTTTTTTAAAAATATTTATTTGTTAGTTTTCAGCAGACACAACATCTTTGTTTGTATGTGGTGCTGAGGATCAAACCCGGGCCACACGCATGCCAGGTGAGCGCGCTACCACTTGAGCCACATCCCAGCCCTGCCACATAATCTTTTAAGTGCTTGGGATACATTAGTGAGCCAAACAAAGTTCCTGGCCTCAAAAACTTGCACCAAAAACTCTCTCCCATTATCAACTTCTTTTCTCATACTAAAAACTACTTCAAACCTTCACCTCTTTCTTCTACTTTTGGCTCCCTGCCTGAGAATGATGCTAGCCTCCCATTTCACAGAGGAATAAGAAGTCACCTAGGGACTGGGGTTGTGGCTCAGCGGTAGAGCGCTCGCCTAGCACATGCGAGGCCCTGGGTTCAGTCCTCAGCACCACATAAAAATAAATAAATAAAGATATTGTGTCCAATTAAAAAATAAATAAAAAGAAGAAGTCACTTAAAGGGAATTTGTCATCCTCAAGTCCTAAAAAATATTGAGACTTCCTTCATGTTACAGCAAGAGTCCTGCAAGCTAGAACCCATGCCCTTACTTTCCACATCCCAGCACTTTTCACACTCTGTTGTAACTTGTAACTTAATTATCTATTTTTCCTGAGGTTGGAGAACCTGTCTGTGTTGCTCATGGCTCTCTCTATCCCCAGCAGCTGGTGTTTATCATCCATTTGATATTCAATAACATGAAAGAACGAGAATCCTCAAGGACTCACACCTGGGAAAGAAAGAGACCATGCTCTGGGATGAAGCCACTTCCCAGGCAGAGGCTGAAGGATGGCTTCCTAGAGGTAACCAGCTAGCTTCACATCTGGAAGCTGCACTGTCTACATGGCTTCTGAGAGGCGGGATTTGGAGATCTAAAGTTCACTGATGAGGTTCCACCTCTTTCAGCCTCCTCTGCTGAAGGACTCTGGAGAACAAGACTGCCCCTGACAAGGCTCTATAGAAAGCCTACTATAAAGTTCCAGGTTGCACTAAATACTTCTCCCAATTCCACTTTTCGCCTATGTCTACCCACTTTCTAGTTGTACTGAATTTATCTATGTATATGTTTCTCTATAGCAGAAGATAGAAATCCAACCTAAAAATGTCTTAACAAAAAAAATACACCCTTCACATAACCAAGGCAGGAAACCTAGGGGGATAAATAACTAACTAGACACTAGCTTCTAGCTAGTTCTAGCAACTGAATGCAGGTGATCAATAATGTCTTAAAGGTTTCTCACTCTAGCTTTCAATTCTGCTTGTTACTGCTTGACTTTATTATTCAAAAAGAATGTCCCCTTTCCACTCAGTAGGAAGATGGTCATCGGTTCCTCATACCCTTTAGTTGAGGAACCCTAAAGGAGAGAGAACCTTTCTCTATAGGCACGTGTCAATACCTAATAATGGTCTGATTGGCCTTGTGAGAGTCTTATGCTAATCCCCAAACCAAAGGCCATGGCCAAATGAATGGAGTTATGTGATGAGTCAAACAGACCATGTATGTCAATTTGGACTCAGTTTCATATCTGTTATTTTCAATATTTATTTTGATGTTCAAATAGTCACAGGTTTGGCCATTTGGGAGCCCCTGAAAATCTAGCTTCTGTGCCTTTTGACAAATTCTTATTATTCTTTGAGTCCTTCCTTTCTTTCATTCTGTTTCAACAAGATGTTCCCAGCACTTATATTGAAAGCAACCATTTCTCCAACAGCCCTATTTCCTTCAGTGGAGAATGGAATATAGAAGTGATTATTTGTGTTACATATTCCAATTGCTGTTGGGCTTTTACCCTTTCCAGTCCCTTTCAGTGGAAAAAGTTAGGGAATATATGTATTATGTAGATAAACATGTATATGTTTATGTATATGCACATCTGTGTGCATATGTGTATATATGTATATTCTATATATATACATATATACATATATACACATACATTTAAACACATATTTCTGTATTTATCTTGAAAGCCACGAGTTCACACTTCATTGTAGTTCACTGTAGTTCACACTTCACCACAGTTCACTGTAGTTCCAGTCCAATCATAATAGTTTCCATCTTTCCATAGATATAACTCCCTTCTCTAACAATGAGAAATCTTAGTCTCATTGTCCTTAATATCTTTACTTATTTTATCCATTTCCCCCGCCCTCCCCATTGGTATGGAAGTAATTTTCCACTGTTGCTGCAATTCCTGTCCATATGTAAATATGTTCCCAATTTCCACTGGGATCCCATAAGCCATTCTGAGCAGGCCTCCCTCCTACATGAGCACAGTACTCATCCCCTGTGGTCTTGCGCTACTGCACTAGGCAGCCCTCCTGTACATGTGGTCTCTCCCCCCAATGCAAGCCCAGACTCTCAGTAACTCCAGGCCCTTGCCCACAATGTGAAAACTTACCTCATTTGCTCCAAAACAGCACCAAAAGCTTCAGAAACAGGGAGAAAGAGTACATCTTTTTTGAAATATTTATTTTTTAGTTGTAGTTGGACACAATACCTTCATTTTATTTATTTTTATGTGGTGCTGAGGATCGAACCCAGGGCCTTGCACGTGCTAGGTGAGCGCTCTACTGCTGAGCCACAACCCCAGTCAGTACATTTTTTTAATCGTTATTTTATTACCAAGTTTAAAAGTCATAATTCCTGTCTACATCTTTATTTTTTAAGTTAGAACATTACAGATAATCCTTGTGTCTCCTTTGACAATGAGCCCAGTTCTGGTCTGTTTTGTTTTTCTCTAGAAAAACAAAACAGACCAAAAGTGCTGTTTGTTTAATGGTATATAAACAGACCAAAAGTGCTGTTTGTTTAATGGTATATAAAAATAGTAATATATTATTCTACACCTTTTTGGAGTAAGTTTACATTCATATATATGTTTTCAAGGAAAGTGTATTATACATTTTTAGGGGGTCCTCTTCCCTCCTTCTGTAGGATTTGCTATATAGAGGAAGATAAAGTACGGTATTTTATGTTTCTTTGTACCTTTAACTCCTGGCCCAGTACCTCACACATAGTGATTACTTAGTAAAACATTTATATTACTATGCTTCTTAAGCTACATTCCCAGAAGTATAATTTCTTGGTCAAAAGGTTTCTATATCTTCCAATTATAGGAAGAAATGAGGTCATATTTATTCTGCCATGAAGATTGAAAAGTACTCTGTCTCTTCAGGGCTATGAAATCATATGCTTATATATCTCATTTATTTGACTCATTATTCATTATTCAACTTAATAGGACCCCAACTCATGATATTTTATTGATGATGGCTTGATTTGCTGAATACCCCATTTTAGAACCACTCTTATTGGGGGGAAAAAGGCACAAGAGTGGCCTTTTACTTCTAACTGTCCAGGTGATTTTGACCCAGGCTAGAGTAATTAATGATAGAAAGAAATCATGGTATTTTAATTTGCTAAGTGGAATAATTCTGGTATAATGAATCCATTATGAGAAACAGAAAATTCCCATATCTCCCATGTATGTATAATATGTCAAAATACATTCTACTGTCATGTATATCTAAAAAAGAACAATTAAAAAAATTCCCATATCTGCAAACATAGCAATGATTCCAGCAAAAACATTCTTTACTCTTTGAAATACCTAAGAAAAAGCCTGCATGAAGCATCAAAAGAAGTTTTCAAGGT